GCAGGCGAAGTGGGGCCCCTGCATCTCCCTCAACCTCATCGTCGAGGTCGTTTGGTGGGGTAGCCTCTCCCTCATGGACACTTTCGACGCGTCCCTCGGGGGTACCTACCATAAAACATTCTCGCGAGGGGTGATGGCTCCCCCTGCAGGAGTCAGAGTCGGAGAGCAACTCTGGATCTCCCGCGAGAAAGTCGTGGAAAGATTCCACGATGTATTCGGTCATCCCCATGAACTCGTCGTTCGTAGGGGATGGGTGCATGCGCTGCACCACAAGGTGGCCAACGGTCTCTGCGGCGTTGCGCAGATCGAATGGGAACGCTGTCGGGGCGCTCTGGATGAGGTATTCTGGGGAGAGCGGTTCTCTTCCGGCAAGCTACGTCATGACGTTGGCAAACGAGAAGGTAAGGCAGCATAGGTCCTCCTAGGATGGTCGGGGTCCTAGGAAGACATCGAGCTGGCGCTTTAGCCTCCCGTAATCAAAGCCGAGGAGCTGGTCGCTCCCAGGGGCGCGGGCCTCTGGCGCGTGCAGCTGTAGTTCCTCGAGCGCCTCGATGATCGTGTCGAGGCTGGCGGAGTGGATAGGCTAAACGGCGGCGGGAGGCTGCGCCAACTCTCCCTCCGTCGTGATGATGAAATCTAGGTTCCCGAAGCACACGTGCGCACCTGGGACCTAGCTGACGCCGTGACTAGCCATCCGAGGCCTGATGTGGACGTCGAGACGCGCAAAAAGCCCCTACCTGGCGCGCCAACTGTAGGTGTTTCATATCATCGGCTAGTAAATTTGTATATGCGCGTCTTGCCCGGATGGTGTGCTCGGAGGATACAAGGATTTATACTGGTTCAGGCAGAATGTCCCTACGTCCAGTCTACTGTTGCTCGTGTTATCGGCACTAGTTTGTAGTAGGGGTTACAAACGAGCGAGAGAGCGAGAAGGTCCCAAGTCTCTGGTGAAAAGATCGAGTGGAGTTGAGTCTTGTAGAGCTCGTTCAGCTGCGTGCACGTTTTCCCCCCTCCCCTTGGGGCGTCCTGCTTCCCCTTTTATAGGTGAAGGGGAAGGCGCAGGTTATAGAGAGAAAAAAAGAGAAAAGCATGGGAGAAGAATGCCTCCAAGGCCGTCGGGTCCTTCTTCTCCTTCGTGCGGGTCCCGTCGACGCTGTAGATGGTGACGGGGATGGCCCCACGTCGGGCTCCTGTTCACCACTAGTGCCATGCCCTGATGTCATCAGCTGGTCATGGCGTCCCATCCCGTCCCTGCGGACAGCGTGGCGAACCGACGTGCCGGTCAGTGGCCATACGGGGAGTAGGCAGCATAGCGACCACGCACCCGTCATTGTTGGCAATGTGAACCCTCGGGCGTGGACTAACGTGGCCACGGGTCACGTCGAGATGTGCCCGCTTCCTTCCCAGTGTTAGAAGTTTGACCCTGGGGTCATACCCTTAGACCTGTAGTGGTTGGAGCCCGCACCCTAGGGGTCGGGTGAGACGGAGCCCGTGCCCTCAGGGTCGGGCGAGACGGCTCCCGTTCCCTAGGGGTCAGGCGAGACGAGCCCGTGCCCGAGGGGTCTGGCGAGGCGGAAACCGTCCATTCGGGGTCGGTCGTGACTGAAATACGTCCTCGAATATCTAGGCGAGTTTGTCGTCCGCGGTCCTCAGATCCCTTCTTCGGGTATCCCTAATACTGATACCCGACAAAAATATAGCATATTCTTATCTTAAATTAGTTTCTATAATTTACATGTTCATATATAGTAAGAGGATGGCACATATATGTAGATAATTTATACTGAACATTCATCTTGTTAGAACGAGAATATTCGGGCAAAATGAGGGAGTAGATTAGTTCCGAATCTCACCCAAATATTCTCTTCCAGGAACCGCTCCATTCCCTTGTTCCACGACCAAACATTCATGAAAGAAGGATGGAGTGGTTCCATTCCCATTCCGCTCCTCAACTAAATGCACCACACCATAGAGCTTATGTCATGTGGCAACATATGAAAGAGTTAAGGCATATTTATTTATTTGGATCTCTAAAGATCATAGCTAGAATTTGAATTCTTGATTAAAGAATCAGACTTGTTTAGATTCTAGACTATTGTTCTTTAACAATTTAGGAATTGAAATAGTGCTGACTATATAACTCACTATCGTTACATGTAAATTTGTGAAATTACTACACCAAGAACACATTTTTCACAAACAAATTCAGATCTTACATTTTCATGTGATCAAGTAAAATATGTTTTTTCGTTTAAGTCAGTGGCCAAAAGTTTCCTTGCAAAAATCCAAATTAAGAGTCTATTTTCAGTACACATGAAGTCACTACGCCTCGTCGCCTTGTGCCATGGTGTTGGCGACACGATCAATTATATCGCGCCTTAATTTTATTTTATCCTGCTCACCGGACCGTGGGACATCATTGAACACAAAGCCACAAAGGGATAATAACCTACTGCAGTACATACAAATAATAATAACTTCATGCAAAATAATAACTTCATGCAAACTTTGCGCCTTTAGCTCTCGTTTGGTAGAGCTCCTCCTCAAGGGACTCTTTTTCCACGCTTCTCCTGCTAGGTAAGGCTCATCTGCAGGAGCCAAAGCCGGAGAAAAACCCTCTCAAACTGAGCCTTTTTCTTACGCTACTTCAAACTGAATGTACTAGTGTTGAGTTGTTTCTTCCATTTTTCAGGCAAGTGCCCATCCTTGCCATCGCATCTGGTACACTTACGGTCGCAAATTGGTCTCCGTGCTTAGATCTCTAACCGAATTTTATTGTCAATTAGGCTTGTCTCCGTGCAAATTTCATGTGCACAGAAACGTGATTCTTGAGGTAGGAACGAAATTGATTGACCAGTTTCTTCAAAAAAAAGAAAAATAAATGACCAGGCGAACAGAAGTTATGCCAGCCAGATATTTATCGGTGATGCCAGCGACTGCCATTGTCGACAAGCTTCGCGCCCGTGAAGCAAGCTTCGATGGGCCGGAAAGAGCATGGCACGGCTTCGGCCAAGCCCAGATGGCTTTCTGCCTGGCTCATATGCAGCTCACAAGTGGACCGGGCCGAGGTTGACCGAGTTGTAATCGGACAGCTTTCGGCCCGGCCTATGTACTCTTTAGTTCGTATGAAGCAAATGTGATGCTTGTTTTTTAGATGATTATTATATTTGTTATTATGTTTTAGTGTTGTTATGTTCATTTGCGTTTTAGGCCCTGTTTGGCATGGCTTCAACTATGGGTGGAGCTGCTCCACTCCATAACTCTAGGTGGAGCCCACCTCAGGGGTGGAGTGAGAGGAGTCGTCGATTGAGGTGTTTGGCATTGGGAGGATGTCCCTCAGGCCTGTAAAAGAGGAGTTTGAAGGTGAATTGTCATTCTTGCCCCCAACTCATGGTCCCACCTGTCATCCTCTTAAAAAAAACGCCTCGCTTACCAGCATGTTCATACATCGTAAGAGATGTGCCATATGTAGGAGGGGCATTCATCTTGTTGGGAGGGGTGGCAGGAGGGGCAGCGTATGGAACCATTTGGCCCATAGCCAATTTGTGCATCTACTCTGCTAGAAGTCAATTGATTTAGCTCGAGTTTGAATGACAACACAATCGATTTCTAGTGAATCAAATCATGACAAAGCAGCAGGGAATGAATTCAGGCATACCTAGTTCGATTAAAGACAATGCAAGATTCTAACATAGAGGTCTCTTTCAATTTCGGCCGAAATAAGCGTGTCCATGAGGTCACTATCGAACCAATTGATGCACCCCTCCCCGCCCCACGGATGTCCGCCGAGTACGCCATGCCAAAGGAGAGCAGAGCGAAGCACACTAGCTGTGCACTGCTGACACGATCGAGGGTGGCGCCATTTTATTTTATCCTGCTCACTGGACTTGTGGCGTGTCCGCCACAAAGGGACTTGACCTACTGCAGAGATAGTAGAACACGGCCATGCAAAATAATAACTTCAGCAAACTCGGCGCTTCTAGCACGGACGTGTTCCGCATGTACCACTTTTTCCGCCGACCTCGGCTAAGACGAACCCCAGACGATCTGCAGGCGTGGCATCGACCACGTTGCAGACGCCTTTTTCTTACGAACGCGCAAACTGTACTAGTGCCAGTAGCTATTTTGATCGGGTCCCATGCCCCCCACCAAAGGTTGCTCCACGACCCAGAGGGGCGGCATGAGGGTAGGAGGGGCGGTAGGAGGGGCAGCGAGGGAGGAAGACAACGGCGCAGGAGGGAGGGAGTCACGGCGCGGGGGGCTCGGAAAAAATAGAATCGAACCGTTTTCTGTGTAATCAGTGGCATGGGTGGATAATTACCCACCAACTCCACGAGGAGGTTCAAAAGAGAGGGTTCTGGAGCAGCAAAAGAGGTGCTCCAAAACTCCACCCCCATTTACACTATAGCTTCATGGAGTTGGCAGCTCTATGGAGTTTTGAAGCTGGGGTGTTTGGCTGGATTTTTTGCTGGAGTTGCTGAAGTTCTGGAGTGGAGCTATGCCAAACAGGCCCTTAGTCAGTTATGTAGTGATGAAGGAGCTTTTCATCGGTTACCATTTCAGTATGTTAGCATTAGTATTATAGTATAACATAAGCATGTCCTATTGCCAAGTTCATGTGCATTAGTATAATATAAAGCAGGTCATCTTGCCAAGTTCATGGGTTACTTGAGTAATTGGACGTTCTAGACTTTGAGTCTTTGCGTTGCATGCCATTTTGTTTGTTGATACGACATGATTTTTTTAATTATTATGATTATTATATATATTATTAAAAGCATGGTACGTACGCTTGCTTGATGCTCTCTCCCTGGGTCCTGTCATGGGCCAGTATTGTTTGGCTCTGGGTCTGTTATCCGGCCCAGTTGCAGTCTACAGCCCAAGCCACACCTCCAAGAACCAAGGGCCGAGGCCCGGCCACGCGCCTCGTCCGTCATCGACCGAACCCGTCCCGCACCGCACGCATCGACCGGCTCCGGCCTCCGGCTGTTCCCCCGCCCATGAGAGCCGTCGCGGCTGCCGCCTCTCCCCCGCTCCGTACCCTCCTCCTCCTCTTCTCACCCCACCTCCCTGCACCAACCCCGCGCCCCCGGTCCCTGTTCTCCATGAACCCTTCGTCGTCGTCCTCCTCCTCTAGCCGCTACCACTCCAGGGCCGCTGCCTTCGCTTCCCCGCAGCCGCGCGGCGGTGGCGGGAGGCGGCGCGGCGGTGGCGGCCGCGGAGGCGGAGACGGAGACGGGAGCGACCGCATCGACGCCCTCGGCCGCCTCCTGTAGCGCTTGACCCCCTCTCCGTCGCTGTTGCGTCCTGTGTGCGCCGCGCCGCCCGCTGACGGCCTCTGCTCTCGGTTGCAGGACGAGGGTGTTGCGGCACATGGCGGCGGAGCTGCGCCTGGATATGAGGACCGATGGATACGTGCGCGTCCGCGACCTGCTCAAGCTCAACCTTCCGACCTTCGCCAAGGTCCCTCTCAAGTGTCACACCGTGGACGAGATCAGGGAGGTATTGGCGATACTGCTTCATGGTTTTATTTCATTCATTGATTGATGAACTGCTGTCGGACTTGTTAGGCTACTTGGTTTGTGCTAAACGTTGTTTCTTCTTATTACTCCTAGCTTGCATCAGGAAACCCGCCATGTGGAATGCTGATGTGCTATAGATTTCTTTGGATCATGAAATTTACTGTGAACTGTGAGTAGTATTCAGTTTGATGATAAAATTTGTGACATTTTGGCTGGCGTGCAGGCAGTTAGGCGGGATAACAAGCAGAGGTTTAGTCTGTTGGAGGAAGATGGCGAGCTGTTGATCCGGGCGAACCAGGGGCACACAGTAACAGTATGTTCTTTGCCCGAGATTTTTCCTGCATCAATACCGAAGTTGTTTCCATAAATCAGCATGTTTTTTCCCATGATTGTTCACTTTTCCTTTAACTTTGCGTAAGATGGAAATGTTTTTCACAGTGGTAATCTAACATCCACTGATATAATGGTTAGTGGTCCTCTGTCCTCCTATCGCTTACTGCTTAGGAACTGAGAATGTGATTATTGGAATGCTTGCTGCATTGAATTCCTGGACATTTTGTTTTTATGTATAATACTTATATTCTGATAGTTTCCTTGTATATGCACCATAACACTTCGATTTTTATGCTTGAAAACTTTTTATCTCATCAATGCTAGCTTTTAATTTTTTGTAGGTTATGAATGTAGCTTTTGTTTCTAACTTATAAGCTTCATTAGCACTCTAAATCAGCAGGCTTTGTTTTGAACTCGGATAAGGTGGACAATCATGCTTTTTCTTACCCTCTGTCAGTGTATCTCCTTTGGGTGTTTATTGCGGTATTCTCTGTTGTGGCCTGCTGTGCTCTGCTGTGCTCCTTCCATATTTGTCATGAAGACATCAAGTGAATTTTGTTGACTGACTGCCCCCACAATCAGCTTAGCAAAAGGAGACTTTAGAGCATCTATGGTTTTGGGCTTCGTGGCTAGATCAACATAATTGCAGCTCAACTGGCCATTCTAGTTTTCTTACTAATCCTGCAAACCTCTTGCAGACTGTTACTTCAGAGAGCCTGCTGAAGCCCATTTTGTCCCCTGATGAAGTGTCAGGTATGTAAAAATAACAATCACTTTTGCATTTGCTCCCGAATGGAATCATATATTTTTCTAATTTATTCCATCTGCAGTTTGTGTGCATGGAACTTACAGAAAAAATCTTGACTCGATTTTGCAATCTGGGCTAAAGAGTATGGCAAGGTTACATGTACATTTCTCAAGTGGCTTACCATTAGACGGAGGAGTAATTAGTGGTATGCTTTCTTTTTTTAGAGACACATCAGTATTGAATATGTCCATAGAAGAATCAATTATGTTATCTTAGCAGATGATTTAAGTATATCGTAAACATTGAAGGTCATCAGGATTTTTTTTATAAACAAAAAGTTTATCATTAAATTTCTGCTGTAATCTAGTATGCTTCCAGTCATCATTATTGTTCCTTAAGTTAGCTGCTTACCTTGACGACTTCAGCTGTTGCACTTTTGTAGCATGTTTTTTAATGTTTCTACTGTTCCTGCCACAATGAATTTGAATTGCTTTTCCATCTTCAGGTATACGGCAGAATGTGAACATCTTGATACATCTGGACGTCAGTAAGGCACTTAAAGGTACTATCTACTGCTTATAAATAGGCCCCTTTTTTGTTTTCTTTCTTTTTCTGACTACTAGAGCCTGATATATGACCTAAATTTGTTGCGCAGATGGGATGAAGCTTTATATTTCAGACAACAAAGTGATCTTGACAGAAGGTTTTGATGGTGTCGTCCCTGTGAAATACTTTGAAAGAGTCGAAACATGGCCAGGACGAGCGCCAATACCGTTCCAAAGATAACAGCCCATGGTGGCAGTAATGTAGTTTCAGCGTTGCTGGTTCATACCTACTGAAAATTTGATTTGTCGTGCTGTATCCCAGAGAGCTGCAATTCCCGGGGCGGTGGGGGGAGGTGCTTTCCCTGTGGGTGTGGAGTATGTGAGTACTCTGTAAATTTGATTGTGTTGGAGCCTCTCAGTTGTGGTACATTGTTTGCTCCATTATGTAGTTTGATTTCGGACTCTTCAGAAAGCTGTGTGGTACCCAGCATCCAGCAGATTGGTGTACATGTACTCCTTTCTAGCCACCCTTTCGGGCTGCTTTCTCTCAAGCCCATCTTTGTCCCCTTGGTTCAAATATCCGGGCAGGGCCGCCCGTGAACGACTTGGCTTCTTCCACAATCGCACGCACGGCTGTTCGGTCGGTCGTCTGTTCGGACGGACCCCTCCCGAGTTGCGCTGCTCTGTAACAGGCTCTGCCCGCACCGCACCTTGTATAGTCGTAGCCTCCCGCCCGCTCTGTCTCCATTCAAAAAAAATCACCGCTACAAGCGCGATGGCGTCCCCTCCAGTGCGTTGTAGCCTCCCCTCCTCCTGTCCTCCCCATGGATCCAGCAGCACCCCTCCTCCACGTGCGTCTTCCCTCAAGTCCGGCGGCCTCCATGGCGTCCCCTCCCCCCACTCCATGGCTACTGCGACCCTTCCCGCATCCCATCGGATCTGGCTAGCGGGCTCGAGTAAGCCGTTGGTGCGCGGCTGGCGGGCTCAAGCAAGCCGCTGACCCCCCTACCTACCCCGCCCGGTGGCGCCCTCCCCAGATCCGGCAGTGTCTCCTCTCCCTCGGCCGAATGGTGGGCATGGCGGGGGCGTGCAGGCGATCACCATCCAGCGAGCCTATGCCACCGCAGTTGCCCACCAGGTAGGACATGCCCGCGCGGCGATGCTGTATTTCAAGTGTTTCTAGACGCTTTTTCAAACATGTTGCAAGCCCATGTTTCAAGTGTTTCTGTTGTTTCAAATGATCGGGATGTAGCATATGTTGCAATGGTTGTAAACGTATGTTGCAAGCGTCTATCCCCAATGTTTCATATGTTTTTTGTACACATATGTTGCAAGTATTTCAGATGCATGTCTCAAGTGTTTCATCTGTCTTCTTTTGTATGTTGCAAATGTTGCATCTGGATGTTTCAAAACTAGCTCGGGATGATGCACATGTTGTGATGGTGTTTCAGTTGTATGTTTCAAATATTTCATCTGTTTTAGAGTATGCTGCAAATGTTTCATCTGGATGTTGCAAAAATAGATCGGGGTGTTGCATGGAGCGGCCAGTGACTGTCGCTGCTGCTGGGGCGCAGCCATCGGTCAACCCACGTGGGTTTCCCTGTGTGGGGCGTGGGGTGGGCGCGGGGGCACCAGTCCCTGCGACGGACGCAGGCGCAAGTGCTGGGGCGGGACGCGGGGCATGGGGCGCGATGCAGACGCTAGAGCGGCACAGGTGTCGGAGCCGCGTTCGAACGCGACGTCCCGTCCAGGCGCTAGGCGTACCAGTAGATAAATGGCTTTGTTTTGTTTAAACAAATGAGGATGTCTCTTGGTTGAATTGGTTAGCACTATATATCTGGGTCCGGGTGAGGTTAATCAACTGGAATCAACTCGTCCCTTTCCAAGGAAAGGGGGGGGGGAGCCGTCTCTTCTATATTTTTTAATTACTTCCTTCGGTCCAGTAGTATATAAGGCATATTTTAATGTTGCACATTTTCCTAAATTACACTTTGACTATCCATTTATTTTATATTATTTATTTTATGATTATTGTATTGTACATTTGACTACAAATCTAATAGTATCAAGTTTGTATTACAACAGTTAGAAGTTCTTTGCTGAATTATTGGTTAAAGACTATAAAATTTGACTGTTGACGCACATGAAATGCGCTATAAACTAGACCAGAGGAAGTATTTTTGTGCGGACCATTTAAGGTTCTTAGGAAATTAGTTGGAAATTCAAAACGCTACCATGGACTCATCACTCTTTGAACTTTGCACAGTAGACTCATCACTCTTTGGTGAAAACGTTTGTTTAATTTATCTGGAGTTCTGGACCAATATGCTAGGTGTTTATTATGGTTGTTCTGTTGCTGCAGGAACTGGAGTTGAAGCAATTCAGTCAACTCGGAAGCAGGACACCGGGCCACCCAGAAAACTTTGTAACTCCTGGAGTTGAAGTTACCACTGGTCTGTTAACTTTGAGTTAGGTCACTCTAGTCGTAACTTGGCTTACTGTACGTAATACCAAACGGGAAGTCAGGTTTCCAATTTGGTTGTTCTACAGGACCTCTTGATCAGGGTATTGTTAGATGATCTCCACCAATTGGTCTAATGGGCCCTTGGATCCACGTCCTGATCGGGGACGCCCAACCTTTCCATAGTTGGTGGCCCCCCGTCACACAGGACCATAAAAAGGGAGGTCGGGGCCGGGGCACTAGGCATGAGGTTCACCTGAGCCGCCAGGCGCCCCACCTACAGTCCCTAAACCCTAATCGATCTAAGAGGGGGTGCTGCCAGCAACGGGAAGACCGCCACCGGCCATCGCCGTCTCTGCACCGCCGCCACCGCGACAACGCCTTCACCGTCGGACTTCAACGCGCTACCGTCAAGCAACCCTATGACCAGCTCGTCTTCTACGAAGGCGGCCGATGGTTTGCACCTCCTCAGCCCCTATCTCTCTCACACTCTATCTGTTAATCTCGTACTAGTACATGTTCTAGGGTTTACACTTCATCAAATGTCAGTAGGTGTGCTAGATCTATGGCTAGTGATCCTGTGACATTCTATCAATGGTATCAGTCGCCTAACTAGGTGTAGATCTAGCTTATTGAGGTAGAAAACCGAGTAACAGCAATTAGAAGG